CCTCCATCTTCCCACCCTTTGCCAGTCCAGACTAGAGCCTTCTTTTGCTTTTTTACCCCCCTCTTAAAACTCAGAGCTGCAGCTTCCCCCTCCCTGAGCTTCTCCCCTATCAGCATCACACCTGCCTGCAGAAATCTCCTTTTGCACCTGGATAAGAGGCGACTTGTCTGCCTGTCTCTGCAAGGTCCCCACTCCCACTCTGCCCAGAACTCTCTGAGTCTCAACTAGGCAGACCCCATCCAACCACCTGCTGGGAACCCCAGCCAGCCCCACGGCCTCAGTAGCACCAGCCCACCCTCTCCCACTCGACTGCCACCACCTGACTTTTTGGCGTGTTTTCATGTCTTACGTGGCATTTGTCTTTGTGAATTTCAATGGCCTGTAGACATAAAGTCCACAAGCAATGAGCCAATAGTGCAGAAAGGAAGCAAATAATGTACATAACTGGCAGGATCAGCACAGGGGGGGGGGGTCCCTCGGCCCACCTGTTTGGAGCAGTGCCAGCATTCACGAGTCCTTACAAAACCCCAGGGATGCTCCCCAGAGGCAGCAGGTGGGGTGGTGGGATCCCAGAGGGCGATCGTTTCCCTTAGAGAAAACATGGGGGATGCTAGGACAGACAGACGCCCCTGACACCGGGGCTCAGGACTCCAGAACCTGGCTGGAATTCGGGAAGGCATGTTCCCAAGAGTGGAAGGCAACTGCTGAGGGTGCTCAAAAGATACACGGTTCCATGTCTCCAGCCTGCTCAACGGGCACAAGCGACCCAGGAGATCTGAACCCGATAACCCTGGACCAGAGCCCACGTCCTGGCATGCTGGTCCCCAGCACACTGTCCCCACCCTGAGTGTCAGCACAGAGCCTTGCAGCTCCTCCCAGCATGAGGGGGCTGCACACGCCAGAACTGTGGGCTCCCTGTGGATGAGATCCGGACACGTGGCCACTTCATCCCAAGAAAGAAATGGCGGAGGGGCTGGGGACATAATGCAGGAGGGATGGAACTTGCTTTGCATACTGCCAGCTCTGGTTCAGCCCTGGCACCCCATAGGATTCTTGATGCATTGCCAGGGAACACTCTTGAGCACAGAGGCAGGAGTAATTCCTGAACACGGCCAGGTGTGGCCCACACCCCAAACTCCTGCCCCCAACAACAGCCACAAAACCCAAGAAAAAGAAGTAGGAAAGACTTTTGTGTCCATCTCTGGGTGCAGGACAAGCGGCGAGCATTTAGCTGCAGGTGGGGGGTGGAGGGTGGGGGAACTCCTTTCTGGCAGTCAGATGGTGGGGGAGGGGTGCTAGAAAGATCCCAAGGGGGCACAGAGGCCAAGAACCAGGAGACCCCTTCAAGGGCACAGCTCTGCGCCCCTGATGAGCAACATCCTGGGTAAGTGTTGCCAGGAAAGTCCAGAAGTCATGGTCGACTCAGCACAGCTCGGACGAAGGAGCACATGGGCCTCTGCCTGGCCTTCAGTGTGCCCACAGGAAGGAGTTGGCCGGGGCTGATGCTGCCAGGCCCGCAGGACCCGACTCCTGGGCACCTGGGTCAGAAGCCCCCAGAGCCAGGAGAACAGTGAGCGTGTTTGTTGTGCCAGCGCCCTTGGCCCCAGGTTGATGGCCGCCAGCCTGTCTCCTACTGTGCCTATCCTGGCTGGATCTTCGTCCCCCTCTGGGTTTCCTGGACACGTTTTCAAGTGTCCACGAAGCTTACCCAGCGCCCAGAACCCCGTCGTCTCACACAGACAGACGGATGATGCGCTTTGCCAGGAAGGCTGCTCTGCCCTCTCCTGCCAGCCTCTCTGGTCTCCAAAGCAGGGCCCAGAGGCACCAGGGTGGGGGTGGGTGGGGGCTGGGATCAAAGGTGCTCTGAGAACTGGCAGGATGGGGACCCCCTGTGCTGGGTGTGAACTTCACCCCAACTCCCGGTTGCTGGCAGCTCAGCTCGCTGCTGTGTTGGCCCGGCCCGCAGAGACTGCTGGAGAGGAAATAGAGGTGAGACCGGGAGGGAGCCAGCTCCTCCCAAGGTGTTCAAAGGAGTCGGGATCCTTCGAAGGAGAGAGGGTGGGTTTCTCGAAAGAGCTGCCGCAGACCCAGACGCCCTCCTCTGAGCCTTCCCCTGACAGAAGGTGGGCAGCGGCTGAAAAGGACTCGGAGCCTAATCCAGTTTCCAAGGCTCGGCAAGATTTATTTATGCCCCACAGTCCCGGGGAACTCACTGCCCTTCCCTGCAACCCCTCCCCATCAGAGCCGGGTCCCCTTCTCCTGCCCCCCCCCCCCAGCCCGATGATAAGTGTTCGACCTGGCGGGGTGGGGAGGAGCAGGTCAGCTGGGGGTGTGCAAAACCTGGGTGCTCTAATCCATCCCCAGCGCCCACCACCTTGTCAAGAAGGCAAGAAACGCAGGAAGTCGCAGCTTTGGCTGGAGCCAGCTTAAAACAAAAACAGAGGAGCAGAAAAAATTGCCTGGGAATGTGGACTGCATTCTAACGAGCGCGCTGGGGGCGTGCCAGAGGGGTGCAGCGGCAGCCAAGACCCGGGCCGCCCGGTCCTGCTGCAAGTTGGGGAAGAAATCGCGGCCCCCAGCGGCCTCCGCCACCGCCAGGACAAACCCGGCTTGGCCTTCCCAGGCCCAGCAGGCGAAGGGTGCGGAGGTGGTGGGTGGGGCTGGGGGGCTTGGGGGTCGCGCTGCCGTTGGCTGAGGACCTGGGAGCTGGTCTGAAGCCCGATCCGGGTGAAAAGCACCAAGCAGTCTCTTGAGTCTCCAGGAATCCAGGAGAGAATTCAGTGGTCGGCAGGAGCAGCTTGGGCTCACCCCAACGCCCCCCCCCCAGCCCCCACGCCCGCCTAAGTCCTCACCCCTAGCTAGGAATGAGACCCCCAATCTTCCGACTTCAGCCTGGAGAATTTTTGTCACACCACTTTCTACTCATCTGGAAAGGGATGATTCAAAGTATGAGCAAATATTATGCTTCCCTGCATTTATCTCTGAGGGGGAAAAAATCACGTATGCTAATTTATATGTAAATTCACTACGGCCCCGGGGCTCCTGGCCGGCTGCCAATGGGGGCCAAGGAGCCTGGGGTTGGGCCTTTGTCTTGGGTTTTCCTGCAACGCAGGGACGTCTTGCAGGCTTTGGGACCTTGGTCTTCCTTCCCCTGACCCCATCCCACCCCATCTGCACCCTCTTTCTTCCCGTGCCTACTAGTTAATATTCTTCTCTGTTGCAGCTCCATCCACCTGCTTACGGGAGGGACCCTTGGCCCTGGACTCAGTTTCCCCACTGCAGGGAGCTGTGGGTGTCCTACTCCTCCCCACACACTCCAGGGCGGCTGCTCCATTACATAAGAGAGGTCAATCAAGGCTGCCCCGTTGGCCTGCCTTCTCCCGTACCCACCAGTGCAGAGACCGCTGCTGAGGCCAGCCCCCCCCCCCCCCAAGACCAGCTGACAAGGACACCCGACACAATTCGCCCTCCCTCCCTCCCTCTCCGATACCGCCCCTCTTGCCTGCTTTCTAGAGCCTGAGCCAAGAAGGCTCCCAGCCTGTGTGCCCCTGACACCTGGTGTGACCCTGCCAGGTCCCCAAGCACGCGAGGTCAGAGAGGCAGCAGAACCCCGGGCCTGTCTGCAGAAAGGGCACGGCAGGCCAGAGGTGGACCCCAGAGCCGGAGAACCCCAGGCTGCAGCAGGGGGGCAAAGAGGGAGGTGGTGGCGGCTGGGATGTGCCACCGTCCCTGGCCCCAGCCAACTTTCCTCTGGGAATTCAAGTGCAGAGGACTCGGCTTCCCCTCCCCCGGCCCTCCCGGTGGGGGCCGCCTGCTGGAACACAGGGAAACTTTCTCTGCCAGCCTCAGTCCCTAGGAAGGAGCTCGAATATGCATCATGGGAAAGTGGCCAGCCAGATGCCACCCCCACCGGCCCCCCTAGCCAGATGCCACCCCCACCGGCCCCCCTAGCCAGATGCCATCCCCACCGGCCCCCCAAAGGAAAGGGTGGTAGGGAGTCAGCAGGGCAGCTGAGCCTGTTACTGCCCAGGATGGAGCATGGGGGCTGGGGGATGCCTGCACAGGCTCTGGATGTTGGAGTGGGTCCCAAATGTGCCCCCCTCAGGGCACAGCCCTGCGCGGAGCGCGCACACACGTGGCCAGGAACCCGCCCTCCCCCCCCCCCCCACACACCCCCGGGCTCAGCTTCCTGGCCCATAAACAGCAAATTAGCACCTAACTCCCATCCCTTCTCTCTCTCCAACTTAGCGTAGCTCCCCAAATTTCAGAGCCCTGAGCCTTTTATAGGCTGGTGATCTCCCCACATCCTCCACCGACGACCCCCAACTAACTCCCACCGCCCCAACCACCCGCAGCCCCGCACCCCCAATGCGTTTCCAACTAAGACAGTTGTCCACCTCTCCTGCTGCGGAGAGATCCAGCCTTTCAAGCTGGATCCCCGAGCAGAACCTCGGCGAGACCCAGTTACTGCTCTTTCAGAGCCTCGCCTGCATTTCTCCCCTCGGCTTCTTTGCGAAGCTCTGCAAGTTGCCCGGCGGCGGCGGGAGAGATGTGTCAAGTTTCCTCTTGCAATTTCTTTCCAGTAACAGAAGCAACACAGTAGCCACCCGGATGCCCTCCGAATCTGTCATCCCACCCTCCCACCCCTCCCATGCCCGGTTCCCGGTGGGCTCGGCTGTGCATGCCTACAGAGCCCCGAGCCCAGCAGCACCGGGGACAGCAGCCCGGAGCCGACGCACCTCGCGGGAGCGCAGACACCCTGGACTTAGGCACACACAGCCCTGCGCTCCGGGAGCAGCCCGATTGGAATCAATAGTCTCCCTCCCCGTCTGGCAGGGAGGACGAAGTCCCAGCCATACTGTTGAAACGCTCTCGCCTCCACCTGCAAACCGCACAGCACCGCCGACTCGGGAACCCGCGAATCCTACAAAGCAACGCCGCGCCGCCGTGCAGTGCAATGCCTGGGTCCTGGGTGGGCAAACCCATCGCAAACCTCTTACCTTGGAAGAGAAACAGAGCGGCCAGCCCCGTGAAGATGGCCCAGGAGAGGGAATTGTGCATTTTTGCCTGGATGGTTTTCATGATTTTTTTTTTCCCCTTCTTCTTCTTTTTCTTCTTCTTTTTTTTTTTTTTTTGTCAGGTTCGGGGCTTTTCCCTTGCTTTCTCTCCTGACAGATTGCGAGGCTCTTGAGCTGGTGGAAGGAGATTTAAATCCACTGTTTCGCTGAAGGACACAACAAGAAGCCGAGGGTGTAAGAGAGTGTGACTTCTCAGTAATTATCTCTACTCATACTCTGGCACTGAGACACATCGTACAATCTGGCTCTGGACAGCCCTCCTACAAGCTGCAATCATTGGTTCTAATCCAATGACTGACAGAGCTACACCACACACGCGCGCGCGCCACACACACACACACATACGCACACGCACACACACACACTCAGGAATCATTTACTGGGCAAATCAGGCTAGCTGATTAAAGAGACAGAAGCCTGCAGAGATGGAATGATAAATGCCACTTTGCCCCTTCTATATTACTTTCATTTTTTAAGCTGACAGTCACAAAACCCCAAGCATTACAAAAAAAATTTCCCCCTTTCCCCCCATCTGGCATTTGCCCCGGCCCTCCTGAACTGAGATACCCTTCGCACTGGAAAAATCCCATAGGTGGGATGGGCTCCCAGAAAATTTTAAAGGGACATTATCATGCTCCGAGGCAAGGATGAGTACGATTTCATTTGCCGGTACCTTTCTTTCACTGCGATGAAAATTTCATTCTATGACACATCCTCTCTCTCTCTCTCTCTCTCTCTCTCTCTCTCTCTCTCTCTCTCTCCTTTCTCCTTTTCCAATCAACTTCCTACTTCACTTTGGAGGATAATAGATAACTTCATATTTTCTGCCACATCCATCGCTCCTGTTTCCAAACACCTGTCCAGCACCTCGTTTTCACCCACTCAATTTCAGGTACCCGATACTGTGAAAGAGATCAGGTTTCTGAGATTTGACTGTCACAGTGCGAATGTGAGATCTTTCTCCCAAAGAGGAGTGAGGAATGAGTTTCTGCCCCGTGTCTCAGCCAATCAGCACCACCCGAAGGAAGCCTGGAAGTGCTTGGGGTTTGAACTGCAGCAAGAAGGCTCTAAGCTAGACGTGTGTAAGGACTGTCTGAGTGTGGATCTTGTGTGTGCTTCTTGGCTTTGCTCGAAGAGAGCTGTGGATGGCTGTCTCCTGTCTCATAGTCGATGACAACAGTCAGTGAGTGACAAATAATGAAGTGGGTGCAGTGACTTTTTGGAAGACGGACTGAGGCCATATAGACTGGAGATTGTCATTTTGGGTTTCTCCTTAAGGGAAACCAGTTATATGAGGAGATCTACAAATTCTGGACAGAACTGACCTTCTCTGGCTGTTTCTGAGGAATCCCCCCCTTTGCACACCCGCTACCTCCACACATACCCCTTAAAGGTTTCTCCTAGGTTGCCACAGCTAATCATCTTATAGGTCTCCCCAATTAAAAAAATATGTTTGGCTTTTGAGCCATGAGTATTCAGCGGGGACTCGTGGCTTTGTGCTCAGATCTCAGCCGTGCTCGGAGGACCGTGCAGTGCTGGGGAATGAGCCCAGGGTCTCCTGTGTACAGAATCTTTGTCCCAGCGCTCCACCACTTTTTTGCAAAATATTGCAACAGAAATCAATAGATTTCTCTTCTTGGCTTTTGTTTAAAGTCCTGCATATTTTCCCCTACCAAAGAAAATCCCCAAAGGTCTTCTGCCATTACCACTAAAGGTGCAAAATAAAAGTAATATCCGGCTGCCACTGTAGAGTGGAAGCAGTGAGACCGCCCCCAACAAGACCCTTCCCTCAAAATGATAAACACAAGTCATGTATGCATCAGGTCATTGCTAATGTTATGCACAACTGTGATTTTGTTTTAGATGCTTCCAGTAGGATTTGGTAAGTGTGTGCATGCGTGTATGTGTGTGTATATGCATGTATGTATGTGCGTGTGTGCATGTCATTTTATTATTTTATTAAATCTTCAGTTGTATTTTATTTGCATGTAGTGTGTGGTGCTGGAGACAAAATCCATTCTTGTGAGGCAAGTGCTTCACCATTGAACTACATCCCTACTCCCATTTTATCTTATTTTTTTAGAAAAAGACATTTTAATGAGCTTTGTGGTAGTAATTGTGGGAGTACAATAGAGATCTTCTGGGGCACAGGGCCACTCCTGCAGTGCTCTGAGTCACTGGGGCAGTCAATGCTGGACAGAGGACATGCAGTTCTGATGGCCACACCCAGAGCCTCACACACGTGGATCTGGGGCTCTTCACATCCCAGGTCACCGTTGAACTTTGTAGTGAAAGGCAGTTGCTTCGTTGTTATTTCTGCTTAAGATTTCATAGGAACACATTACTGAACACTTGGCCTTAGGACAGTGAAAGAACTTGACATTCCTTGCAACCCCATAATAATTTTGATGTATAAGTTCTTTTGGCCTCGCTGGTGCTCACTACTTACTCCTGGCTCTGTGCTCAGGAATCACTGCTTGGCTGGGCTCAGGGGACAATATGTGGTGCTTGGGGTTGAACTGGGGTCAGCTTTGTGCAAGGCAAGTGCCCAACCCCTTTTGGGGATCAGTCACAAACTTGCCATGGACACAGTCCTGGTGTTTACCACAAGTCTTAGAGGATCTCTTCACTGGTGCACAGAGGTGCCCCCTGCAAGCAGGAAGCCCAGGGAATTGAAGCAGAAGTAATGAAGTGGGAGACCAGGCTGGGAGCAGTCCTCGCTGCTCCAGCAAGGACGCTGTCACTTGCCTCTGTGGCACGTGGTCTTTAGTGAGTGAACTAGAACCCTGAAGTCATTAGTAAAGACCCTCCATTTGTTTTTCTTTTTGGGAGGGGGCATACCTAGGGATGCTCAGGGTTTATTCTGGCTCTGCACCCTGTGATCACTCCTAGTGGGCTCAGAGGACAATATGGGATGCCAGGGCTCAAACCTGGGTTGGTTGTATGCCAGGCAAATATCCTGCCCTCTGTATCATTGCTCAGGTCCCTAAAGACACTTTATGGGGCTGGAGTGATAGCACAGTGGGTAGTGAGTTTGCCTTGCATACAGCCAACCCGGATTCAATTCCCAGCATCTCATATGGTCCCCTGAGCACCACCAGGAGTAATTCCTGAGTGCAGAGCCAGGAGTAACCTCTGTGCATTGCCAGGTGTGACCCCAAAAGAAAAAAAATCCTTTATTTTTAAGGTATTGTTATCCAATATTTTCCCCGCCATTGAGTTGTAACTCACACACCCGTCAAACTGTCCTGGACAGCCTGCCTTCCCTTCGTCTCCATGCCAGTCCCTCCGTGCATTCTCTGCAGTGGCTGGGACACAGCTGGGATGAACAGAGCAGGTGAAAAGGGTGTTTCTGGACCAGCTCACCCCTGCAGGGGTCACTGGTTAGGGGTCACTCACTGTTTCTGGACCAGCTCTTCCCTTCTCTGCAGGGGCCACTGGGCTAGTCCTTAGCCCTTTACCTGGAGAACAAGGGCACTAACTTCTATCACCATCTCACCAAAAGCTGCCAGAGGTCTACGTCTTGGTTTATTAAGCATCTACCTGGGATGACAGCAGCTTTCAATCATTGGGTCCACAAGAGTTCTTGGACTCTTCACCTGGAATCTTCATCAAATCAAGATCATAGATCAAGATGTGGAGACTTTGGAAGCAATGAGAGTCCAGCATTGAGTTAACAACCCCAGTTCAAATTCCCAAATACCTGGCATCACACGTGGTGCCCCGAACACTGTAGGGAATCATTCTTTTTTTTTGAGGGGGGGTCACACCTGGCGATGCACAGGGATTACTCCTGGCTCTGCACTCAGGAATTACTCCTGGCGGTGCTCGGGGGACCATATGAGATGCTGGGAATCGAACCTGGGTCAGCTGTGTGCAAGGCAAGCGCCCTACCCGCTGTGCTATTGTTCCAGCCCCTGTAGGAGATCATTCTTGAGCACAAAGCCAATGTAGGTCCTGAGCACCTCATTGCATCCTCCACTGTGCCCCTCGCCCCCAAGACACAGGAACTCAAAGCAAACAACGTGAGCTGGGGGAGTGCACATGCCTTACACTTGTGAAGTCCTCAACGGGGAGCCTGGGGACCTGATTACCAGGTCCCCACTACCGGGAAAGTTCATGGGTTTTGACTCCTAGACCCCAAAACACTGTCGAAGAGAAAAAACCCTATAAAATAAACAAATTCAGGGACTAGAAGTCTGTGCAGTGGTTACCAGCGTGTGCCTGGAATGCCATCAAACTGGGTTGGATTTTTAGTGCCACATGGTCACCAAGCATGTCCCAAAACCATTTTGGAGAATGTATTTTTACCATAGTTCAGGTTGTATGACTGTTCTAGGACCAACATTCACCCTCAAAGTGCCCAAGACCTTCCATCCCATCACAGCTATTCTGTCTCTCCCTCCACTGCTTGGTAATCTGAATTTCATAACCCAAGGTCAGGGGGTGGTCACCATTCAAAGTGGTCAATTCCCTTGTTGTACAACAGCATTTTGTTGTTGTTAATTTGTTTGGGGGCCACATCCATGATGCTCAGGAGTCACTGGCTTTACACTCATGAATTATTCATGGCAGTGCTCAGGGGACCATATGAGATGCCGGGGATGGAATCTGGATTGGCAGTGGGCAAGGCAAGCTCCCTATCAGCTGTAACTATCTCTTGGGATCAAGCAATAGCAATTAAAAAAAATTTTTTAAATGGAACCAAATAAAGGGTGTTGGGAGGATCCCTAAAGATGGGAGAAGCATGCTGAAAATAGACTATAGACCAAACATGATTGCCACTCAATGCCTCTTTTGCAAACCACAACATCCAAAAGGAGAGAGAGAAGAAAGGGGAATGCCCTGCCACAGAGGCAGGGTGGGATGGGGGGAATGGGGGGCGGGAGGGATACTGGGATTCGTGGTGGTGGGAAATGGGCACTGGTGGAGGGATGGGTATTTGATCACTGTATAATTGAAACCCAAGCACAAAATTTGTAAGTCTACAACTGTACCTCATGGTGTCTCACTAATAAAAATTTTTAAAAAAATGGAACCGAATGCCATGTGCTGCTGCTGTATGACCGAGCCCTCCACCAGCTAAGGGCACCATGCCAGGCACAGACCGACTGCCCACTAATACCAGTCTCAGAGCCCTGAGTGAAGGAGCACAGTGAGAAGCTGGATTCAGCTCTGCCCCTGGATTCCTGGAGTTGGTATTACCTGGGATCTGTGCCTGAAGGTGGAAGTGCAGTTGTGTGTGTGTGTGTGTGTGTGTGTGCACGCGTG